TATCTTTGTGTAATATTAAAATTGGTTTGATGATCTGAATCTTTTAAGTGTGACAAATATGCAAAAAATTAAAAAAACAGGAAGGGGGCAAAAACCTTTTCACGGCACTGTGTATATGTAAGGAAATTTAATATTTTATATTGATATATTTATAAAATTTTATATTATACATATATAATAATGTGCTTAAATAATATGAGTACTATTTTGAATCTAAAAATATTATATAAATATTTTTATATAAATATTATATTAAATGCTTTTATATAAAACCCACACAATAATTTATGTTTTTCTTATCTAATATTTAATAACAAATGTTGCCCTACTTAAAGACTGTCATGATGAGCTCCTGCTGTCAGTCATATGCAGTAAAAGCCTTTGACTCACTGGTGGTTCTGGCTCATAGATTGAGCTCTTTCATTGAGCCGGGTGTGAGTTGTCTGTCTTGTTGGCTCAGGGTTTGGAGTTCGTCTGGAGATGTGACCCGTTTGTCATCCCTGCTCTGACGTTTTTAATTATGTGCCAGTTTTTTGTGGGAGGTGAGGCTTTATTGTCTGTTAATTAGGTTGAAGATGGATCCGAGATGTTCCTCGTTCCCATGATTGCCTTTCTCTTCTGCGCTCACGCTCGAGTGGCAGAGTGTGAAGAGACTGAGAGCTGAAGGAGTAAATGTCATGAAGAAACGTCCGGGTCATATTTCACCCTAATATTCAGTCGCATAAAGAAAATGAAGCCTATTTTTACAACCATTAAGATTATTATATGCTTTGTTTTGATGGCATAATACAATATCTATGTTTTTTGGTTTTGATTTTGGGGTAAAATACGAGCCAGACGCTTCTCGACGGCTTCAGGAAATGTTTTCATGCATGTTTTAAGATGTGTGCGCTGCAGCTCTGGCCTTGTCACTCATTCAGAGAGTCGAGCGTTTCTTTGTGGCTCGTTCACGACGTTGTGTCCCTGAGAGAAGAGGAAGTCTGCTCACAGCTCCGCTTGTTTTGATCGCTTTGGTGAAAGGGTGACACATTAGCGATCCTTAGTGTTTTTCTGTTTTTGACCTTTTCTAAAAATAGCCCCTGCATAGAATTTTTTTTTAAAGTGGCTAAGATACAAAGCCAGTGCTGACTGATCTACCATTCCTTACTAATATATTAACTGTCTGTCTGTCTGTCTGCCTGTCTATCTGTCTGTCTGCCTGTCTGTCTGTCTGTCTGTCTGTCTTCAGTTCTACCTGACAGTTGATATATACACACACACACACACATATATGTATATATATGTATGTACAGTTGCGCTCATAAATTTACATGCCCTTTGAAGAATATGCAACATTTTTATGATTTTAACAAAATAAGAGGGCTCATGAAAATGGCATGTTATTGTTTATTTAATACTGTCCTGAATAAGCTATTTCACATAACAGATGTTTATTCTCCACAAGACAAAATAATAACTGAAATTATAAAAATGACCCCGTTCAAAAAGTTTACATACCCTTGAATCTTAATACTGTGTGTCATTTCCTGGATGATCCACGACTGTTTTTATATTTTGTGATAGTTGTTCATGAGTCCCTTGTTAGTCCTGAGCTGTTAAACTGCCTGCTGTTCTTCAGAAAAATCCTCCAGCTCCTGCACATTCTTTGGTTTTCCAGCATCTTCTGCATATTTGAACCCTTTCTAACAGTGACTGTATGATTTTGAGATCCATCTTTTCACATGGAGGACAATTGGGGGACTCATACATCACTATTATATAAGGTGTACTGATGCTCAAGAATGCAACACAATGCATTAAGAGCTGGGGGGTGTATCGAAGTGATACTTGTAGATTTAAAATAAAACCACCAATAGGTGGCGGCAAGTCACTGTCTTAATGAGCCAGGCGTCGCGTCATTCATTCAGTAACAAAGCAAAATGCTGTAGTTATGAATGGGTTATTGATCACTGACTCTCCAAATCGTTCAAAGTCGCAGATTCGTTCACTAATGAAACACCGCTGTATGTTGCTTGGAGATGCACACCAGATGATACGGATTTCGGGACTATTATTTCATTGCAAAATAAAACAAACATGACAATATTCTGTTTAAAATGTAGGCTACATTTAAAATGTGAAATGTTCACTTAATATGACCTTTTTTGTTCAACTGTTGTAAAAATGAATGGCACATTTGCCATCGTTTGGATATTCAGGGAAATTTGCATTCTTGCTCGTATCTTAAACATGAAAACAATAACACGCACAGAGTGTGTCTGTATCGAAGAGGGTTTAAATCGATCTCAGTCTGTGACAATATTTGCTCTTCATGCTATTAAAGGTGGGGTAAGTGATTTCTGGTTGCCAATGTTGACATTTGAAATCACCAAAACAAACACGCCCCTACCCCAAAAGTGTCTCGCCCCTATTTTGATAGCCCCTCCCCACACATACGTACGCAACCCAGGCAATGATTAGTTCTGTGAAACAAAGCAAAACCAATGTTACACCGTGTCTTCACCAGACACGAGTGGCGCGGCGCGACAAAAGATTATAGAACTCATTATAATCAGTGATGCTGTCTACACCATAGATACATATATATATATATACATATCTATGGTCTAAACTGGATGCGGCGTGGCACGACACGACAAATCCCCGACAGAAAACTGCTGCTGCGTTCTATTCATGACGTATTGACACAAATTTCAAATGATTTTCAACGGTCACTTTGTCGCGTCTACTGTAGACAGACTTTAGCTGTTGCGGCGCAGACACGGTGTGACTCACCTATCGAGAAGAAACAAAGCAACCTCGGCGTCCGATCGTCCGATCCGACCGTTTTTTTATCCGCTATCTCTATCTTTCTGTCGCTCGGCTCGGCTAATGTCCTTCCTGTGCACTGAACTCTCTCTCCTCCACATCATGAGTAGACACGCCCCTTACTGCTGATTGGCTACATGTTTGTTTTGCTACTCGGCCCGAATCAGTTTTCGAAAGCGTTTTTTAAAAATCGCTTACCCCACCTTTAAGTGAAGGTCTACTTTAAAGATACATTGAACAGCAGCGCGATTTGCTAAAGCAGCATATTCAGCGGGCATCCTATCACATGCACGCTGCTTGTGTGGATGCCGTCAGTTTTGACTGCAAAAGATGAGGTAAGCTGATTGGATATCATGTATTTGACCGTTTACGGCACTCCCATTTTCCTTTTTTTACATTTGAAGCGGCATTTTGCTTGTCAGAAATACATGTTCGGCTTTAATGTTACTTCAATTTGGGGTAGAATTAAATGAATGGCAAAACTCAGAATTTTGTTTGCGTACCCCCCTCTGTCATCTCACGTACCCCAGTTTGAGAACCACTGACCTAAGTCATCAGGTCACCATTATTACCTAGGTCATCAGGTAGGCCATTGAAATATGCAAATTGATTGTATTGAACTAATAATCCTTATTTTTTTACATCAGTATATCGAGAAGCCCATAGTTAGGGAATACATTGTAAAGGTAATAAGCTAATAAATCCCAGCACTTGTTTTCCACCAAGGGTTTGTTTTTTTCAAAGTTGTCATCTTGGTGAAGTGGCCAAATTGAAATCCCCGTTTTCGAACCTCGTTAAACATTCATGAAGTTTTAAGAGCGTTTTACGCCAGGCCCCATATTGAGCGGCACAGTGACTTTATGCCAGATCTGTTGGTCCGCGCCAGCTCGTGTATCTCCTGCCAGAGCGCCGCTGCTGTTTGCTGACAGGTGAATTACGTGCGTGAGGACGGGAACACAGACGCTTAACATTGGCGCAGATGTTTTTAGTTCCTCTGCTGTCAGCCGAAGCTGTCTGGCTAAAGCTGGCAGTATTTTTGTGTAAAGTGACTCTTTTAGTTGTGGCTATAAAACACTTGACCTCTCACAGTCGTTGCTTCTTATTTTCTCTTCCTCCATCAAGCTTCCCTGTGGATTTTTATTTGTATCTCCAGCTTCCTTGCAGAAAATAGATGCGTTCAGCAGGTGTTTGATAGAGTGACTGTGAGGATGTTTCATCATTACAGCGACTGTGGATTCATTTCACTTTCTCAGCTGGATGTCTGATTACTTCAGAGACAGACTGAGCTGCTGCTGATGTATGGAGAAATCAACACAAATGATCATTTTAAGTAATGTGTTTTTATATACCCTGATGCCAGTCTTGCACTGGTCAAGGTGGTCTGGTTAGCTGGTTTTAGTGGGGTTGTGGGCAGTTATTTATTTGAGAGACCAGCTAAACCAGCTTTTAACCATGGGTTGAGTGAGTCTTGATTGTATTGGCTTATTTCCCGAACAAATCATGTGGTTTTTAAAAGCCTGAGTAGATCATGATAACACAGTATATCTGACTGTCCTTTTTGGTTATTGCTTGTCAGGTTGTATAATATGACCTTAGTGAGATCTTGGGCAAAGCCCTACAGATATTCCTGAAAAACTGTATTTAATTTCATCATATTATGACAGCCAGGAAGTGACATCATTTGGATGCCTTTTACCACCTGACCAGGAATACATCTTAATTTTTACACAGTGTGTAGTGTTAGTTGTATTTCATCAAGCTCAACCATTTAACCCAGGTGGCTATTGTATATATAAAAATAAATATATATTTTCTTCTGTTTATAGAATGTTTATTGAGAGCTATAAAACAAGCCTAACATTGTCTTTATTTAGTTTTTTGATTGTTTTATTTATGTTTATAATAATTTTTTCCCCTTTTGTGGAAAATACCATCTGCAATCTGCAAATGTTGTCTCTGTCGTGACAAAAGTGTACAGTGTGCACTCGACACATTTGCTTTGTGTTGGTGTAAGTGTCTTTCTTCACACACCATGTGTTTGCTCAGAGTTGATTGATGAATTCATTCGAACGCTGTCAACTCAGGTCAGTGTACAATGAACCAAACTGCTCTGGACAAACACTGCTGGGACTTGATGGTCACTGTGTGTGTGTGTGTGTGTGTGTGTGTGTGTGTGTGTGTGTCCTCTACAGGTTTTAAGACGTATCTGATATCCGGGAGGAAGGTGAAGCACACCCAGTGGAGCTGCCCTCCATCTGCTCTGGTGGCTCCTGAGCTCAGAAAGTCTCTCAGCGCCTCGTCCTTCAGCCACAGCCCTGACATCACATCCTCGGCCTGCGCTCTGACCCCTGCCCCGGACAGAGCTAAGGTCAGTCCCACACCAAAACCCTTTGTCCTACATAATTCTTCTGCCATAATGACAAAGTTGCTCATTTTTGATAAACTTTTTTATTTACAGAAACTTGGAGTGCCATTATATTAAAATAATTTAATTATCATTTTAATTGTATTTCTATAAATATAAATTAATTATTATCATTATTACTTATTATTGATGTGCTATAATTATAAATTATACATTATCAATAGTTCTTCTTCTTATTATTAATTCATTATTTTAATATTTACAATTAATAATGTAATATATAATATAATGATACAGTTTGATGTGTTATCATTATAAATTCTATATTATTAATATTAATTGTTATTCATTAATTATTTTAATTTTACAATTAACAATTTAATATATCATAATGCAATATGAGTTAAAATACAATATATAATTATAACATAAAAATAAAATTATAAAATTCAAGTAAAATATAAAATGTAAACAAATATAAATTAATAAAATAAAATACATTTATGTGACTTTTTTTTGTTGTTTTAAAATCAGCAGTTTCTACTCAATAAAATATTTTACAGCTTGACAAACTAGAAAAATGTATTCTCACTATCACAGACTTCCATGACTTTTTAAGATTTAATTATTGTCCATGACTGATCCAGGTTTAGAAATATAAATATAACTTTGAATTCCTTCATATATCTAGGTTTTCTGAAACTGTAGACTTAAAATGAAATAAAAAAAAATTATAATAAAAGAAATATCTTGTTGTTTAGATCTTGTAGCTTATTTTAACATTTGTTATATTTCTCTTTATTTTTAAGTAATTTAGCATATAATTAGAAATTTGTGTTCACTTAATGTGTGTATGTATGTGTGTGTGTATATACACTGAAATGGGGGCAAAAACAAAAGTGTTGCGTTTATAATTTTGCTCAGTGTATATATATTATATAATCACATAATACATAATCGCGTCACAAGGAACTAAGGAGCCGTTTTTAGTCAATGAATGTCATAAGTTAATATTCATAAAATACTTTTCTGAATATATTAACATAATGAATACAAGCAATCGGCGTATCAGGTGTTGTGTTGGGTTTTACTTTGTTAATGCACAATCTGTCTCTATGCATGCTGCTTTCTCTCAACTGTTCTCTGAACAGCATTATTCCATTTACTGATGAAAAGACTGTGCTGGAAACACACACCACGCTGATTCATTGTGTGAAACACTGCAGTGATTTGCGGAAGGCCGTGAGGGATCACAGCGAGCACGTCAATAAGTGAGCGTGGCCAGACCAGATCTGTGAGATCATGATGTGCCATGTGCAATGCATCCACCTCTCCTTTTAAATTTGATCGATCAGTCGAATGCCCGATGCATTCATCCAGGCAACCTTTCAGAGGACGCCACATTACCCAGCAGCCTTTGCAAAAGATACTCTCGTCATTGCACTTTAATACTGATGGGACCTTGGATTGCAAGCGATGGCGGAAAATAAGATAAGGGAGGGCAGCCGAACCGCTGCTCGCTCCTCCTGTGCAAAGCGAGAGTCTGTCTGTAGTAATTATTCATCTCTGAGGCCAAATGCTGCTGATTTTTAATCCCTTGCATATTCAAACGGCAAATGTTAAATGGCAGATACAACACATTTTAGAGCTGCTTGCTAAAGCTGGCATCACTACTGCTGAGATTTGAACAAACCCTTAGGCTTTAAACTTTCTCTAAGCAGGGAGTCGAAAACCACTTTCATCCCAACTAACTTTGGCTAACATTCTGGAAAGGTTCTCTCAACATTATGAACAAACGTTATGAACAAACTTTCTACCAGGAATAGTTGACCCAGAAATAAAAATTTGCTGGAAATTTACTTACCATCAGGCCATACAAGATTTGAATATATTTTATCATTACATCACTTGCTCAGCAATGGATCCTCTGCAGTGAATGGGTGCCGTCAGAAGGGGAGTCCAAACAGCTGATAAAAACATCACAATAATCCACAAGAAATCAACTCCACTCCAGTCCACCAGTTAATGTCTTGTGAGGCGAGAAGCTGCATGTTTGTAAGAAACAAATCCATCATTTTAACATGCATTTAGCTCAAATATGAGTCCTCTATCCATACTATTGCTTTGTCCTGTGAAAAAAAAAAGTCTAAATCAGTCGAGAAATATGCACAGATCAAGCACAATCTACAAGCGAAAACAGTAGAAAACAGTTCTAAACAAATATGTGGGTGGATTTTGATGTGAGAGGGCAACAGGAGATTAACTTTTTCACTGGAGGAAGCATTATTATGGATTATAGGCTCATATTTGGCCTGAAGCGACAGTTTGAAGTTGAAAATTTCTTAATGATGGATTAGTTTCTTACAAACACACAGCCTTTCTCTTCACAAGACTGTAACTGATGGACTGGCGATGTGTGGATTACTTGTGGATTATTGTGATGTTTTTATCAGATGTTTGGACTCTCATTCTGACGGCACCCATTCACTGCAGAGGATCCATTGCTGGATTTCTCCAAATCTGTTCCGATAAAGAAATGAAGAAACAATCAAATTTACATATTGGATGGCCTGAGGGTGAGTACTTTTTCAACCTTTTTTATTGCTGAACCTATTCCTTTATAGAATAGAATGCTTATGCAAAAGTATGTGGTCTCAAGCAACATTCTCAAAACTTTAGCACAAAAACATTCTTTCTTACTTATGTGTGAAGAATGTTGGTAACCAAACACTTGCTGGTCCCCATTGACTTCCATAGTATTGTTTTTTTCTTCATAATATGAAACCATCAACTTTTTGGTTACCAACATATGTGTAAGGCTAAGCCTTCCCCTGGCCACGGGGACTTGGGGCAAAAATGCCACTAAATTGGACAAAAATGCCCCTGCACAAACAAATTAAATCTATTACGACTGTTGCTAACAAAATGAAAATGAATAGAAAGTGTCGATTGCGGCATTAAATTAAGATCTGCTCATGTTGCACAGTATTTCATTTTAGGCGTTTTTACAGTGTTGCGCATTATAACCAATCACACACGATTCTGTTGAGCTTATGAATGCAATGGCCAATCAGAGGCGTTCAGATGAGTCACCGTTCAAACTCGTCAGTTTTGAGTGCGCGCGCGTTCGCTGACTGAATTCTGGACGCGCAGGTGTATGTACAATGTAAGGAAGAGATTAATTTCACACTGTAGACAGCTTAAGTGATTATAAGGATAGTCTTGTTTTGTTTTTTGAGAGTGCTTAAACTCACGATAGATCAAAGTTAGTGATAATGTCACTTTCTGTATAATAATTGATTCGCTGTTTGAATAACATTGGAAAGGAAACGTTTTATACTAAACGTATAAACGTTTTTTATTAAATTGTAATCCCGTTAAATACAAATTCAGTCCCATTAAACATTTTATTAGCCTACATGACACCCATGTCTGGTTCTTGCCTAAAAAGACGGGTTTATGATGTTTGTAGTTAATAGATTTGGCTGCTTTTAGCCTTACCCTGGAGTTGGTCCACCCTCCGCCTATGGTTACCAACATTCTTCAAAATATCTTTTTATGTTCAGCAGAAGAAAGAAACTCACACAGGTTTGGAAGAAGTTTAGGGTGAGTAAATGATGACAGAATTTTCATTTTTTGGGTGAAATAACCCTATAATTGGAACTCCCAAAACAAAACATTCTTAGACTTGAGCTCCTAGAAACCACCTATAGCAATGCCATAGCAATGCGCTGATAACACTAAGCACACTAACATTGTGAAGTATAGCATCACTGATCTTTCCATGTGGAGTATTGCTATTAACTTTATTTTTCTTGAATTAAAACGGTAAGTGAGGTGTTTGACTCTCTGTTCTCTGCTGCACCTAAATCCATTTGATGATTTCCTTCTTCTCTTCCTTCAGTCTGCCTGTCCCTCGTGTGGTGCGTTAACTTCTGAAGACGGGGCGGTTCACAGCAACAGCTGCTCAGATCCTGATCACAAAACCGTCAACAGCAAGGTGAGTGTCTTATACCTGATCTCAGTGAGTAGAATGAGAAAATCCAGAATATTACAGTATGCCTATAGGCTATACCTTATCTAAACTGCTTTGGTTGGTTTCAATGAATAATGTAAAAGCTCTTTTTTTCCATAATGCCTTATTTAATACAAATTTCCTGCTATGTTGATTAGATAGAGCAGTGCTTCATTACAAGTCGACCGGATAGCGCCACCTATTGGTTATAATATTCATTAACAGGAATAATAGGATACTGTATTCGGTTTAGTGTTTTTTTAATAATTATTTTGTGAAGCTGTTTGCTTTATGTAGCTGTAAACATTTCAAACAATAGACATTCCTGCTACATAATCTCATTTTAGGCCTATTATACACTGTGAGTGGAACATTTGAAACATGCATTTCCTGTAAAGCTGCTCTGAAATGATATGCATGGTGAAACGCACTGTACAAATAAACGTGGAATGAAATGAAAAATCAAAAAAAAAATTTCAGTTCATTCATCACATTGGAAATGGAAGTTTTAAGCCACTGTGCGTTGAAGTAATGCATGCAGTTTGCTGTGGTTGTATGCTGCACATTTCAGCAAATGTCAGGTTGTCTCGGTCCTCTCGTGTATGAAAGATTTGCACACTCCGCACAGAATATGCACTGCGTAAATGTGGAGGTGTGCTATTCTTTGAGGTGTACAATCCTGATTTCTGTATGGTGAAATGTGATTTAGTATTATATGTATTTTGCTTACGTTTTAGGACTATTTTTAGGACCATTAAGACTTTTCCCATTATTATTTTTGTAAAATTTTCCCTGTAAATCAAAAATCTTACTCCATGATAAAAAATAATATATTTAAAAATATATATAATATATACTTTTTTTACTATTTGATTCTTTTAAAGGATTGTCTAAGAAGTCTTTAATGCTCACCTCATTTATTTGATTAAAAATACAGTAAAAACAGTAAAATTATGAAATGTTATTATAATTTAAAATAACTGTTTTAAATGTGAATATGTATTCAAATTAGTGCTGTCAAGCGATTAATCGCATCCAAAATAAACGTTTTTGTTTACATAATATATTTGTGTGTACTCGGTTTAGTGTTTTTTTAATAATTATTTTGTGAAGCTGTTTGCTTTATGTAGCTGTAAACATTTCAAACAATAGACATTCCTGCTACATAATCTCATTTTAGGCCTATTATACACTGTGAGTGGAACATTTGAAACATGCATTTCCTGTAAAGCTGCTCTGAAATGATATGCATGGTGAAACGCAATCAAAAATCTTACTCCATGATAAAAATAATATATTTAAAAAAATATATAATATATACTTTTTTACTATTTGATTCTTTTAAAGGATTGTCTAAGTCTTTAATGCTCACCTCATTTATTTGATTAAAAATACAGTAAAAACAGTAAAATTATGAAATGTTATTATAATTTAAAATAACTGTTTTAAATGTGAATATGTATTCAAATTAGTGCTGTCAAGCGATTAATCGCATCCAAAATAAACGTTTTTGTTTACATAATATATTTGTGTGTACTGTGTTTATTTATTATGTATATATAAATACACACACATTCAGTATGCATTTAGAAAATATTTACATGTATATGCGTTTATATATTTATATTATTATATTTTATATTATATATAAATATATTTAATATTAAAATATTTTTCTTAAATGTATACATGCATGTGTTTTTATTTATATATACATAATAAATATACACAGTACACACTCATAATGTCAGGATTGGACTGTCTTTGTTGTGTTTTGCTCCCCATGTGCTCCCCGTGACCCAGTTTCTCATGTGCCCTTATGTGGTCGTTCCTGTTCCTGTCCATGTTGTCTGTCTAATTAGTTATTCTGTTTACCTGTGTTCCTTCCAGTCTTTATCCTTTATATTTAAGCCCCAGTCTGTTCAGTCTGTGTTTGCTCGGGTCTACCAGTTGTGTACGTGTGTCTTCCTTCCCTCCCAAGTGTGGATTTACCCTGTGTGTTGGATTTAATAAAGGACAGTTTCATTTATCCACAGCTCCTTCATTCCTTCCAGCAGCGTATCGTGACACATATTATGTGAACAAAACCTTTTATTTTGGATGCGATTAATCGTTTGACAGCACTAATTCAAATGTATTCCTATGAAGCAAAGCTGAATTTTCAGCATCATTAATCCAGTCTTCAGTGTCACATGATCCTTCAGAAATCACTCTTAAAGTTGTGGAATATTTTTGTGGAAACATTTTTTCAGGATTCTGTGAGGAACAGAGAGTTCAAAAGAACAGCATTTATTTGAAATAGAAATTTTTTGTAACATTATAAATGTCTTTTATGTCACTTTTGATCAGTTTAATTAATCTTTGCTGGATAAAAGTTTTCATTTCTTCAAAGGAAGAAATGAACAGTAGAGTGCATCGTAATTGTATGTAGTAACTTTTTCGTATGTTAAAGAATTACCATTGAGAATAAAGAAGATTACAGAAAAAATTAACCAATCAATCAATCCAATAAAATTAAACGTCCGGACTCATGAGAATGTGAGGAGAAATGTACTTAATTGTCATCTAAAGAGGTCTTATTTGAGAGCGTCTTATATATTGAAATGCCTTTTTATTACAACATTGTTCTGCAGTTCTCTCATCGTTTGTATCTTCCATCTAAATCTTCTTCAGGGACCGCCTGGCAGGAGTCCCAAGACCCTTAATGGCCTGTTAAGCCCTCATCTGGAGCAGCCACTGACACACAGCCAGACCTCTCTGTGCGAGATGCTGCAGGAGAAGGAGAAGAAGTGGCCCGGAGGAGGAGGAGGCATCTGCAGCATGGGAACCATGGATCACTCCGCCCTCATCCCACTGCGCTCCAAAAACTTCCGCGAGAGGAGCGACGCTCACTTCGTGGACGTGATAAAGGAGGACAGGTAGGAAACGACAGCGGTGAGGATGGAGCCCACTGGGACAAAAATGTCAGACAAGATGGAACGTTATTGTTTAGCGGCCGCCAGCGGAGGTCATGCTGTTCCCAGAGGGACACTTGATGCACTTTGATGTAGTGTGCTGTGATGTACTATGTGTGTCCTGCGGTCCTGGATGGTCCATTTTTCTTGTCTTCCTCTGTAAACGCTATCATTGTACTAAATAGTTGTGCTTACATGTGTGTATAGAATTTTAGCACAAAAACTTGGATCAGTAGCCATTCAAAATCCAGTTTAACTACACTCTTAAAAATAAAGGTGCTTCACGATGCCATAGAAGAACCTTTTTGTCTAAATGGTTCCATAAAGAACCTTTAACATCTGAAGAACCTTTCTGTTTCACAAAAGGTTCTTTGTGGCGAAAGAAGGTTCTTCAGATTATAAAAAGGTAAGAAAGAGATGGTTCTTTAAAGAACCTTTGACTGAATGGTTCTTTGTGGAACCAAAAATGGTTCTATGGCATCGCTTGAAGAACCTTTTGAAGCACCTTTATTTTTAAGAGTGTATGTTCAAATTGACCCCTACAATTCACAAAAAGACACTATATGAAAATCTGTAAAAAGAAAAAGAAAGAAATCTGGTAAAAACATCAAACATTTAACATCAATTGTCACACATTACCAAAAAAAATAAACATGTGAAAATATCATTTTAAAGGAATAGTTCACCCAAAAATGAAAGTTTACTCACCATCAGGCAATCCAAGATGTAGATGAGTGTGTTTCCTCATCATAACAGATTTGGAGAAATTCATAGTTGCATCACTTGCTCAGCAATGGATGCTCTGCAGTGAATGGGTGCCGTCAGAATGAGAGTCCAAACAGCTGATAAAAACATCACAATAATCCACAAGTAATCCACACCACTCCAGTCCATCAGTTAATGTCTTGTGAAGTGAAAAGCTGCATGTTCATAAGACAATAAAAAGTATTACGTTTTGCTCAGCAGTGGATCCTCTGCAGTGAATGGGTGCCGTCAGAATGAGAGTCCAAACAGCTGATAAAAACATCACAATTAATCCACACCACTCCAGTCCATCAGTTAACGATTTGTGAAATCCATCAAGGCATTTTAACTTTTTAACTTTACAGTGTCGCTTCTGTACCAATATACGAGTCCATAATCCATAATAACGCTTTATCCAGTGAAAAAGTCTACCTCCCGTTTCTCTCTCACATCAAAATCCAACAACATATTTGTTGAAATGTTTTGGACTGTTTTCGCTTGTAAACAGTGCTTGATGAGACAACATTTTCACCAAAGAAAGCAATATTATGGATAGAGGAATCATATTTTAGCCAGAAGCAATGATTTGAAGTTAAAAACGTCTTAATGAGGGATTTGTTTCTTAAAACATGCAGCTTCTCGCCTCACAAGTCATTAACTGATGGACTGGAGTGGTGTTGATTACTTGTGGATTATTGTGATGTTTTTATCAGCTGTTTGGACTCTCATTCTGACGGCACCCATTCACTGCAGAGGATTCTTTGGTGAGCAAGTGATGAAATGCTACATTCCTCGAAATCTGTTTCAGTGAACAAACAAACTCATCTACAACTTGGAGGGCCTGAACATGAGTAAAATTTCATTTTTTGTGTGAACTCCTTTAAACTACATTTTCTTTGTGACAATATAGTTTCTTATTTTTTTGATTTTTTTGATTTAGGGTTGAAGTGTCATCTGGATATGTTTTGTGTGATTCACCCATAAAAGGCGCTGTACTGTGTGTATGAAGCTATATGTGCTGATATAGCTCAGCTCCGTGTGCATTTAAAACCAGACGTTTTCTTTTTTCTTTTTTTTCACCACAAAGCTGCCTTCAGTGCAAACGTTCTGCATGCATATAAACAACGGACACATTGGATTCTTAGTGAATTTCCTTCACAATCTAATCTTGTTTTTTGTGCTTCGACCTTGCAGTCTGATGAAAGATTACTTCTTCAGACCGCCCATCAACAGGTTGAGCCACACTTTCATAGACAAATCCCTGGAGTCGGCTTACAGGACCAGCTACCAGGATGAGGTATGATGTTCCTTCCATTTATATGTCGCTTTTTATTTGTTCTCACACTGTCACGATGTTTATAACTGGTTTAAACTCAGTAGTGGTCTGTGATTTGTTCTAACTGGTCAGTAAGAGAGAGAAAGCATCACAAGTACAAAGTTTGTTGCACTGTCTGTACTGCCCTCTGGTGCTCTTCCTTTTGAAATGCATAAATGCTAACCCAGGACATATTATACTAGCAGTGTTTTTCAAATCAAAGTTCTTGATTTGATCAATAATTCTGTTGTTTTCTTTCTGATTGTTGTCAGGTTAAGACACAGGCTCCTGTCCAGACGTTTGCCAGTCCAACATTCAGCTCTTTCCTAGACATGCTCCTGTGCTGTTGTGTTCTCCTGGCTCTCTCTGTGGCCTGCCTCCTGCGACCGCTGGTTACCCAGCAGCCCCTGCCCACACCTGCCCTCATAGTAGCCGCAGTTGCAGCTGTGCTTGAATGTTTGGCCCTAGTGCTGGCAATACGGTGAGTGTAAAGATTACGATCATTTATTCACCCTCATGTTGTTCCAAACCTGTACGATTGGTTTTCATGCAATATAAAAGAGCATATTTTTCAGAATGTCCTAACTGGTTTTTTTTCCTGTGAATTGACAGTGAATGGATTTGGCAAAACGGCATAACTGAAAAAAAAAAAACAATAGACAAAAAGGCCATATTATAGTTTTTGTTCATATTTTGAATTGTTTTATTTTTAGATTTTCTGTTTTCACTTTAGTTTTAGTTAAAGTTTTATTCATTTTGTTTTTGAAATTTTTTAGTCATTTTTATTATTATTTTTTTTTTAATTTGTTTATTTAGTTTTTGTCGCTTTAGTAACAAATAAAGTTAAACTAAATGAAAATAAAAAATGTTGATTTGGCAACTTTAAATAAGATAAAGTTTTTTTTTTATATATATATATATTGCTTTATTTCAGTTAACGTTCAAAAATATCAAAAAAAAAAAATTTTTTTAATGGTTTTAGTACACTATAATAATAACCCTGGCGTATAATCAAATATGTTGCAACACGTCATGCATGCTAGGTTTGAACAAAATTAATTTTATAGTTTTAGAATGACATTAGGGTGAATAAATGATTTCATTTTTGGATGTATGTGTATAATTTATTCATGTTTATTAGTAGTTTAATTATTGTCTATATATTTTTTAATCATTTTTATTTATTAGTCGTAGTTAATTTACTTTTAATTGTTTTAGTACTTCATTTTAAACTTCATTTTAAAAATGTGAAATGTTGCCTTGGCAATAAGTTAAAATTTGTTCAATTTGAGTTCATTTCAGTTAACGATTATTTTATTTCTAGTAACCATTTTTTATGGTTTTAGTTTTAGTTAACTCTAAGACCCCTACTGAATAATCAAAATGGTGCAACATGTCATGCTATATTTGTAGAAAATTTAGAATGTTTATGAATTAAATGATTCTAGAAATGTCATTTTTGAATGAACTATGCCTTATTTAAACCTGCCTGTGTAGATGAGGCCAAAAGGGTTGAAAAAAGGGTTTACTTGCTGTAAATATTCAACAGATCAAATTGCATTATATTTTTAATACTTCTCAGAAATGTCTCTGAGTATTTTCAACAACAATTTCAGGCCGCTTGAGATGAACAAATTCTGCAAATATTGCTACTGTAACAAAATGGGGCTGAACTAAAAATAATAATAATAAAAAAAAAACATCTCAAAGAATGATACGTGTGTTAAATAATGGAGAGGAATTTCTCATTTAGCCTCTGTTTCAACCAGCAGGCGTCTGGATCTGTTCCAGGCTGATACGGATGTTAAGCTTTAGCATCCTTTGTAGCTAAAATTTAAAATTTAAATGTGTTTCATTTGCATTCAGTGACTTTAAAAGGATCATTCAGCCCAAAATGAAAATTCTGTCATCATTTACTCACCCGCATTCGTTCCAGATGTTTTGAAGAATGTTGGTCTCAGTTCCCATTGACTTTTTATTGCATTGATTAAAAATACAATGGATGTCAGAGGGAACCAAACACGTTTGGCTAGCAGCATTTTCTTACATACAGGTTTGGAGTAGCATGAGGGTGAGTAAATGATGACAGAGTTTTCATTTTCAGGTGAACTATCCATTTAAAGGCAGAAGTTTTTAACAATATTTCTCTTTGTAATTTGGTTAAACACAGATCATTGTTTTACTGTCTGGAAATTGTGGGGAAATTGTCTGATAAAAATGTCAATATCAATATTTTTAGTGTTATATTGTCTGCATGATGGAATTGAATAGATACTTTGCCTGGCGTATCTTTGACTTTAGTATCATTGAGATACTACTATAGTTTTTATTTTTATATTTTTCATTCTAATTTTAGTTTTTGTTATATTTAGATGAAATTAGAAGTTTGGGACATGTTGTTCTGCGTTTTTGTAGTTGTTTTTGGTGATGTTTATATATGTCTAGTAATTGTATTTCAGTTATTTTAGCACATCAAGTAAAACTAAATTAAAAAGAGAAATGTTGCTTTGGCAACGAGCTGAAAAAAGTAATAAAATATGATATTATATTATTAAATGTTTTTGTATTATTATTTTACTCTAGTTCATGTTTTATTTGATCTCAAATGCTTTTTATTTTGTTTTATTTGATTCTTTTTTTATGGTTTTAGTTTTAGTTCAATATAATAACCCTGGATCACATTAAAGTAAATATGGCATCTACTCTAACTAAGGTCCATAAACACCAAGAAAACAGCTGGCTTAAATTATGGAAGTTTTAACACTTTTAACTCATATTCCAGTATGTTATTGGGATGTTTTGTTGTTCAGAATAGGCTATTACCTCAGTCTTAAAACAGGACCAAGGCAATAGCAGCATAATGCACAATACACAAAGCGCATATAGCTGTTGCTGTATAGTCCTGAATCTGATGGAATGTGTCTATATCATTGTCTACTTTACAGGCGAGCCTTTTACCTGGACAGAGTCCTGAACTGCACCAGGACCCTCCTCTGGGCCATTTCTGGCTGGGTTCCCCGTCACATGATTGGAGCGGTGCTGGTGTCTTTACCCGCCGTGGCTGTGTTTTCTCATATCACCTGCAATATGCATGACTCCATACAGGTAAACACAGCAGTAAAGATATTGTGAAGGGGTTTTCATGAATGTCAAATATTTTTATTAAAAATAAATTGCATTTGTTTAACATTTCAATGTTTTCCCTTCCAAAAACGTACTGTAGCAGTACAGTGATGCTAATACCATGGTACTCCGATATCTACCATTGCACTGCTCAGTGCTCACATTCATGCTTCATACTGAATTTTTTTAATTAGGACATTTTGTTCTACAGTAACCCAGTCTTTGTCCTGTTTCAGATGGCAACATTTTCCTCCATTCATTTCTTCCATCTTTAGGATTAGAATATAAAAATAGTTCTAAATATTAATAAATACTAAAATAGCATTTAAATAATAAAAATTGTAGTCACAAGTTTGTGAAACTGTGATTTATTCTTATCATACCAAAGAATCAAAATAAAATGCATGCTTAATATACTGTTGCAAAGTTTGAGGTCAGTAATATATATATATATATATTTTTTTTTTTTTAAAGAAATTAATAAAGATTTTCAGCAAGGATGCATTAAATTGATCAAATGTGACAGTAAAGATATTTATTTAAACAAATAAACAAACAATCAATCAATCAATCCTGAAAAAAGTATCATGGTTTCCAAAAAATATTAAAAAGCACAAGTGTTTTCAACACTGATAATAATAATAAAAGTTTCTTGGGCAGCAAATCATCATATAATGATGTCTGAAGGATCATGTGACACTGAAGACTGATGCTGAAAATTCATCTTTGATCACAGGAATAAATGACATTTTTAAATTGTAAATATTTTTCAGAATATTACAGTTTTTATTGTATTTTTGATCAAATAAATGCAGCCTTGCTGAGCATAACAGACTTAGTTTCAAAAGATTTTTAAAAAATCTTACCGACCACGTACTTTTCAACAGTAGTGTGTCATTTTTTTAAATAATAAATATATATTTTTATGTAGACATCCCAATTTGTTGATCCCTTTTAAAGCAGAATGAAATCCACCGAGTTTAGGATCACATATTTGACCCTGGACCACAAAACCAGTCATAAGGGTACATTTTTTTAAATTGAGATGCATGTTGCATCTGAAAGCTGAATATATAATATTTCCATTGATGTATGGTTTGTTAGGAAGGGACAAAATTTGGCCGAGATACAACTATTTGAAAATCTGGAATCTGAGGGTGCAAAAAATCGCCTTTAAAGTTGTCCAAATGAAGTTCTTAGCCATGCATATTATTAATAAAAAATAAATTTTTGATATATTTATGGTAGGAAATGTACAAAATATCTTCATGGAACATGATCTTTACTTAATATCCTAATGATTTTTGGCATAAAATAATTTTTTTACATTTTGACCCATGCAATGTATTGTTGGCTATTGCTACAAATATACCCCAGCGACTTAAGACTGCTTTTGTGCTCCAGGGTCACATATGAGTTTAATAAATGAGGGTTCTTGTCTCCTGCCTGCTTGGAAAGTTTCTTGGTCCTTATTGTGTAGATTTTCTTCAAAAGCACTCTAAAACAGCTGTAAATAGAAAGTATGTATTGTTAAAACACAAGAAACCATTTTATATGCAGTAAAAGAGTAGCAAAACATGATAAATGTGCATGCTGGGCTAAATGCCTTTAAGTGTGCACTAATGTATGGTACAGTACATATCTATTATGTAACAATTTATAGACATGTCTAGTGACCTCTGGACAGCAAAGATGCAGTAATTGAAGCAATCTGATGCTGCTTTGAGTCAGGGAAGTACATATTTCTGTAAACTACAATCCTGCACGTACTCTGCTGCGAGCATGAGCATGTTTAATTCATGTCATTTTTTTCCCCAGTTCACCATGTTCACCTGCTGTGCTGTCATAATTGCCATCATCCAGTACAGCAATTTCTGCCAGCTCAGTTTCTGGATGCGTTCAAGCCTGGCGACGCTTGCGGGACTCACCTTTCTCAGTGTGCTCTGGAGCCCCCCTTGCAGGTTCAAACAATCATACAGTGCACAATGTATACATAGAACTTTTGCACACAGCATCTTTGAGTTAAATATTTAGAAATCCATTTACTTGGGAAACAACAATGCATAAGACTTGTTTTTAGAGAAGATGTCTTAAAAATGAGAATGTATTGGAGAACTTAATGGAGTTTTTCTTTTCCTTTATTTAAAAAAAGTACAAAAGATAGTACAAAAGATGAGATTTTTTGATGTTTTAACTGGAAAACAAGCCCGTTTCCACCACTGAAAACAAAAAGGTACGGTAATAGCGGCTTTTTATCTCACAATTCAGACTTTTTTTCTCAGAATTGTAAAATAAAACTCACAATTGTGAGAAATAAAGTCAGAATTGTGAGATATAAATGTGCAAATGCAAGTTATAAAATCCAGTTCCGAGGAGAAAATTATATTTTCTGATATTTTCTCAGAATTGTGTTTATATCTCTCTAATAAACTCAAAATAAATATCTCGCAATTCTTACTTTATTTCTCAGTTGCAACATTATTTCTAAGAATTTTGAGTTTAAGTCTCACAATTCTGAGTTTTTTTTTTTGTAATTGTAATTGTAGTTAATTTCACAATTGTGAGAAAAAAAGTCAGAATTGTGAGATGAAAAAGTCGCAGTTTCCATAATAAAGACATTTAAATTACTTGTTAAAAAGTTTTTCTTTTATTTGTTTGTTTGTTTATGTACACTACCATTCAAAAGTTTGGGGTCAGTAAGATTTTATGTTTTTTTTTGTTTTTTTGATGAATAGACAGTTAGAAAAAACAATGTTTATTTGAAATAGGCATGGTTTTTAACATTATAAATGTCTTTATTGTCACTTTCTATCAATTTAATGCATCCTTGCTGAATAAAAATATTTATTAATCCAAGTTTATGAATTGTTATGCTTTTATTGGACTTAAATTAGTTATGTTATGCTAAAACTAATTGAAAGCTAACTCTTCGCTGTCATTTTTCTTATAGCACTTGGGAACGTTTATTTGTGAGGTAAGTTTAAGACTATAGATACTACTTGTTGTTTCACATTTTAGTAGATTGATTTTATGCTAGCATACCACTAAAAACTCTCAACCTAGAGTTTTCATTTTGATTCAGCAATTGTCTTTCTCTGTATCCACCAGATCCAGTGACTTCAACAGCAGCTTTAATGACGTCCAATCCCCTGCAGAAGATTCAACCCGACCGCAGGACCTGCTCGGCCCAGAAGCTTTGGTTGCCTTCTTCCTATTGCTCCTCCTCGTTTGGTTCCTAAACCGTGAGTTCGAGGTGAACTACCGTCTACACTACCACGGCAACGTGGAAGCAGACCAGCACCGCATAAAGATCCAAAACATGCGGGACCAGGCCGACTGGCTCCTGCGCAACATCATCCCCATCCACGTGGCCGAGCAGCTGAAGGTGACCCAGAGCTACTCGAAGAACCACGACAACGTGGGCGTCATCTTCGCCAGCATCGTCAACTTCAGCGAGTTCTACGAGGAGAGCTACGAAGGCGGGAAGGAGTGCTACCGTGTCCTGAATGAACTTATCGGGGACTTCGACGAACTCTTGCGCAAATCTGACTTTTCAAATATCGAGAAGATCAAGACGATTGGCGCCACCTACATGGCGGCGTCGGGGCTCAATACACAACAGTGTAGCGATCAAGCCCATCCGCATGCCCACCTGCGAGCGCTCTTCCAATTTTCTTTGGAAATGATGCACGTGGTGGACGACTTTAATAAAAACATGCTTGGCTTTAAGTTCAAGTTGCGAATCGGGTTCAACCACGGACCTCTTACCGCTGGAGTCATCGGTACCACAAAGCTACTCTACGACATCTGGGGCGACACGGTGAACATCGCAAGCCGGATGGACACGACTGGCGTGGAGTGTCGCGTTCAGGTTAGCGAGGAGAGCTACTGCGTGCTCAGTGGAATGAACTACGAGTTCGACTACCGTGGTACCGTCAACGTGAAGGGCAAGGGTCAAATGAAGACCTACCTTTACCCGAAGAACTCAGACAGCGGACCTGTACCTCAATACCAGCTCTCTGTCTCTCCGGAAATCCGAGTGCAGGTGGATGGCAGCATCGGACGCTCGCCCACCGATGAAATCGCCAATATGGTCCCAGCGGCCAGTGCTACTAAAGTAGGCGCGTCGTTTTCTGTGAGCTCAGGACTCACCGGACAGGGATTTGCTGGTAGAGACTTTCCCGAGAAGACTGGAAGCAATGGTACGTCGAAGACTCAACGATCTGCGTCTGCTGTTGGCCTGACTTGCATACCGGAAACCAGCTTGAGCGCAAGTCCAGCGGTTTTCGGTAAACCACCGGACCTGACTTTGACCTCTCCTCCTGTCCGGGTGGAAAACGCAGAGGTTGTTGCAAAAATGGAGGGAGAAATTGCGTACATGGGCGAAATGACAAAACTTTGACTTGAAACAAGCCAACATTGTTGTCGCTGTTGGTTTTAACCCTTTAAACACAGGCTCTCCATTGAGTTTGTCGGGATAGGCGAGTTTAGGGATGTATGCTAGCGTAGATTTGCGTCTGTGTATGTGGAAAGTTTAAGCACACAACCTTGAAGTGTTTATAGCGCTAGCCGAACCAGGAGATACTTCCACATCTGGTTGGTGGTAGCCACATGAACCATTTCTACATGGGATACGAAATGCAGAGGAGATGCATTTGGACGGCACAGACCTGAAGTCCCATCCTTAAATAGACCGCAGTTATTTCCGCTAATTTACTTTTGAATATTATTTTCCTCTAGCTTCTACTATAGGCTGCCTTTCGTGACTGGTTTTCTTTTAATGAAGTGCCTTTAGGATGATAACAATATGTATGAGGCATTTTTCAAAAAGGTTTCTCAGTCAATTCTTTCGCTGAAGATCTAAAAGATTTAGCATGTACATTTGATGTTAGAAAGCGCTTTAATTTTTGTGAAAGTATTTGATATATTTCTGAATATTTTTAGATAATTTGAGAATAAGTTCTCTCAGTTGGACGTTCATCAGCCAGTATTCAAAACAATTTTACAAAGCAAAACTCTGTATTGCGATGATTGCTGTTTTAAAAAGACCCAAGATAAAACCATCGCGTTGAATGGTGCATGGCCAAAAGTGTCTGTGAAGAAGTATTAGTGAAATGTAGAGCAAGCTATGGGCTAAAATCACCAACAGTCAACAATATCAAACATCTCTAGCGCTTTATCTTGATGCATGTATTCCTAAGTGTCTGATTATGGCCTTTCCGTCTCTTTTTTCGTGATTTTTCCTATTGCTCTTCATTCTGCAGCTAAATGCTTGGTTGGCTGACCGACTGAAAGTTCTAAGACGATGTGCAAGTTTGCCTTAACGCTAATGAGATCATAGTCTTAAAGGACAAAGATGCATTCATGCATTAGCTACTGTGACTTTCAGACTTTACACAAAATATTATATAAAATATAAAAATGGGCAGTTAGCTTTAAGATATAGGAAGTTTGTTTACAAGTCAACATAAAATCAACACTGACCCCATTTACATTCCTAGTCTTATTCTGGATGATTCATTAGTGCACGTTGTTGTAAAAGCAAAAATGTCTGTAATCTTTCATCAACATTTAAACTTGCGCCACTTCTGAAATGGCTTATCGGCTGATGTCACCTAGGCTGTGCAGGCATGGAAAATAATGGTAATCAGTAGCTAAATAACATTGTTTTGGGCTACTGTTGTAGGAGTGCAGCAATCCAATATTAAACTGATTATGGCAATAATAGCAAGTAGGCCTAATGATAGATTTGAAAACAACGCTTTAAAATTGGACAAACTGGTCAAAAATCTTCAAAAATTTGGGGGAAAAAAGCTGGTATCGTCTACTTCCACTTTATCGGCTGATGTCACCTAGGCTGTGCAGGCATGGAAAATAATGGTAATCAGTAGCTAAATAACATTGTTTTGGGCTACTGTTGTAGGAGTGCAGCAATCCAATATTAAACTGATTATGGCAATAATAGCAAGTAGGCCTAATGATAGATTTGAAAACAATGCTTTAAAATTGGACAAACTGGTCATAAATCTTCAAAAATTGGGGGGAAAAAAAGCTGGTATCGTCTACTTCCACCGTCTAATCCCGGGGTACTCAACAGGGGGCCGGTCTGCATTCATTTTGTGGCCTGCGTCATGCAGAAGACTAATGTATTTAATCAAGCAAGTCTTAGATGAGTGATAAACTGCATTTCTTAATCAGTTAAACTGCAAATAACGTCTTAAATAAAGTCTTATGATGTAAATTGTAATTTGTGGCCCTTCACATTTTATGTGGTTTAAATGCGGCCCGCTTGGCCTCTGAACTTGAGTACCCCTGGTCGAATCGATCCCTGATGGATCAAATTAAATCCTATCCTACTTTTTTTCTCTCTCATGGAATATGTAATGTTTCACTTAAAATTACGTCATATGAGAGTATGAGCGTGCCATTTCATGTTGGCTTTGATTTGAATTATTGTGCGCTGACATCTTGAGTGGTAAAAGTTAATTCAATTAGTTCAAATGTGAAAAAATAAAACTTTAACTGTACTCAAATCTAAAGAGACAGTTAAGTCACCATAGTGGCATAACGGTTTCAAGGACTGGCAATAATCTAGGTAACATATATGTACCAGTCAAATGTACAGACTCGTGTGAATATTAGAATAGATTAGACCATAGCCTTGACTCTGCCTGCTTGTCTTTTGATGTGCAATAGTAAAGGGTAAATTATTGTATGGGATATTAGCAAAAGGAAGTAGATTTTAATCTTTTTAACATTGAGCTTTGTGAGTAACTTAATCTGCACTGATACTACATACATTTTATGACTGTCTAATGATTTAAAAATTGATGTTTTACATTTTGATAGCAGTTTAGTGTCTTTGCTTTTTCCCTTACATTTTGGCTTTATGATGGGCGAGCTGTATTAGTTTAAAAGGGTTGTGTGCTCAATGATTTGCTATTGATTTGTCATGCTTCACGTTCAGTGGTGATATTTATGGGAACATGAGAAAATGTGAAATGTATAACTTTTCTTGACATTGCTGTGAATTAGCAATCTGCCAAGAAAATATACATTTAGAAGGGAATTGTTATAAAAGGTGATTGATTTGCCAGTATTTCTCATTGTATATATTAGTGCCTTTTACTCGTTTAGAATGCATTGATCGGCCAAATGACATCCTGTTTATCTGTTCATTTTCGTACACTAAATGCTTGTGTATGATAAATGTCTTCAGATTCAACGGGATCTTTAGCGCTGTGCCTTTTCTTAACGATTAGCTTGTCGTGTCCATTTTCACTGTATATTCCTTTTGAATGTGAACTGCTCTTCATTTAAAAATGTACAGGATGAATATTGTCATTTATTTACTCCAAGGTGCCACTCTAATATGCCATTTTTATTCTGTGCTGATTTTGATACTGTTCAGTTGATGTGTTTTTGGTGACACCAAGAATAGCAATCCATGTATTTATAATATATTTTATAGGGCAAGACTTTTGCTAAATAATAAAAGTGCCCTTGCTGTCTGGATGGGGAATGAGCACACAACCCTTATGGGCTCCTCTGTTTCAGAGTAGTAGAGCAATATAAAACTTGATCCAACTAAATAAGCATTACGCTTCAGCCTCCGAACTGCTGCTTGAACTTTGCTTGACGAAGCACATTTGTGTTTTTCATCAGTTATTTTTATGGAAATGTGCTCCTTATGAACTTTCCATTCCATTACTTCTGTTTGAGACTTTATTGTGAGGAAAACACGTTTAGGGCAAACGAAAGGGCTGAACTAATGTATGATAACAGAAGAGCCACATTTTATTTGATTTACAATCACTTAAGTTGGCCCAATTGATGATTCCAAGCAATTTGACGTAGGAAATGTGTGTTTTAATAGAAATATCACACACTGGGACTTCTTGCCAAAGAGCGTATTTATTCAAGAATGTATGATTTCGAGTTTCTCTCGGGTTTCTTCATGTATAAACTCAATCTGTATTCATTCGTATACATTTTTCTCTCTCCTATGTTTGTACATATGCATTGCTCTGTGTTGACATATAATTCATTTTTGTATTATTTATATCAATGCATGTGCCATACTGTTACATCAAAGCTAATGGATGAAAAGGGAAAGCTGATAATACAGTGTTGAAGTCTGCTTCCGTCTGTTGATTTGTAATGAAGCTGAACATTTCAATGCCTGTTCACAGTAGGAATGTCCTGCACTCACACACACACTACCACACAAGTTTAATTTGGGGATGAACTATTCCTTCTATTCTTATTAAGCACATCTTCTGTATACACACAGCTGTATTTACAAAAGTTACATGCTTAGTTGCGGTCTACCAAGTTGTACTGCAGTACTACACTGAAAAATCCCAGTACAGTTCTCTTTCAAACATTCTTTTAATAAAGAGATGTGCTAACTGTGGTATTTGTTACCATGGTACACTTTTGTGAGGGGACGCGTTTAAAGCTGACCCGATTGAACACTACATCGTCGCCATTTACGTGTAGACCACGCCCCCTAGCGGCTGTTTTGGTTACGACCGCCTGACGTACGCGTTTGCGTGAGGGGCGTGGCCGCGCAGCCCCTCCCCCTCCACAGTCTGGCTGGAAAAGAAAAAAAAACTTTTTGTATCGAAGGAATCAACAGCCGCCATCTTGTCGCGGATGAGCGTCAGGATTTCGGGAGAGCATATATTATTTTTTACGCACCCTGCTCCATCAGAACCGGGCCTAATAGCTTCCCCGCGACGGAAACGACAAGCTTCGGGCCGAATCGCGGATCTTTGTGGCGAATATTAGCGTAATGGAGCCGTTTTTGTGGTCGGCTGGAAAACCCCCGTATATCTGATTTCCCCCTTCAGCGCGAGCGGCGCTCCTGTGCCACTCGCCTATATTAAAACTGAATTATTAGCTCTCATTTTTCATTTATATTTTCGGACTTCCCTGATTATTCGCTTCGGGCTGGACATGGAGCTTGAAGGTCTTTATTTTTCTTCGCAGAAACTAGCATTTTTGAACCGAGCCACTTGAAGGAACCGGGATTGAGGATTTTTCTCCCCTCGTCGTTTGTTTTTCGATTTTTAACGATGGTATAATTTATTTCCGTGGGGTTTGGGGTGATCATTAAGGTTAATTATGCGGGTTTTGGGTGTTGGATTATCATGGGGTGAATGGCGGTGGCGGAGCGGGGCGCTGTTGAGTCGCGTTTGAGCCCCATCTGTTAATTATTGGCCCTTGATCGCTGAATAATAATAGAAAAACCCGAGGGTTGATTTGATTTATTTCGCTTTGTCCCCCCTCCCGGGCTCTTGGAAGACGCATTTATTGCTTTGCCGTGTTTTTTTGTGAAGCGAGAGAGCACGATGGCTGATAATCTGCTGGATATGGGTCCCTCCAGCGCAAAGCGGCCCAAACTCAACTCACCTGCGCTGTCCTCCTCCGACACTCCAGGTAAGATGCTGCTGGTCACACCTGTCAAATCTGAGCGCCTCCAGAGATCAGATCCGGAGGAAGCTCGCATAGACCAGGTCTGCCGTTTCATAACACGCTCGCTCAGGTGTCCGATCAGAAACCCTTTAGACCAGGTGAAACTCTCACGTGCTCGAAGAGAAATCTCTCAGGCAGGGTTCAGGGAGCGGTCTCACCTGTCCTGCAAGAAACCAGGTAAGTCTCGAAGTCAGAAATCTCTCACCTGTCCCACCAGAAACCGATCAGTTCAGGAAAGATGTTCGGCTGTCCATCTCGAACCCCCTCAGACCAGGTCCAGGTCTTGCTAGCGACTGACCAATCGTGCTTCATTTTTATGACCGATATCTGTAGTTTTTGTTTCATTTCTGAAAACTGATATGCAGATCCAAAATGTTTACACAATAATAACTAGATGGACATTAAACAGCAATAAAAACATATGCTTTATAAATATTTTATTATAACTTGTTGTTTATGTAGAGTCGGATATATATAACATAAATAGTAAAATATGTAAACAAATTACATTTTTCAGAAATATTTATTTCTGTTTTTGAAAAATAGGTAATTTAGATTATCTATCTAACTAGTTAGCGAATGGTTAAGCTACCTATTTTTAAAAAAAATAGACAATTATTTCTGAAAAATTTTGTTTTTGACATATTTTATAATTGAGAATTGGTTGGGTGCTTTTGTTTAAATGTCAAATGGGCCACTTATTAATAGTTTTGGTATTAAATAGCTGATTAAGTTGAAATGTGATGATATCTGTAAAATACGTTCTAGATAACGCCACATGTTACTTTTCTGCTAACCAGTGCAGAACGATTTTATTTCTAAAATCCAAAATTTTTATATATCTAAAATAATTGATGATAATAACTAGATGATTGTTGGACAACAATACAAATATTAATAAAATGCTCTTGTTTATAAGAAGTTAAGAATGAGTAACTTGTTTATAATTACGTTTGCATTTGCAGTATATTCTCTTGTTGGTTGATTTTTTATTTTTTTATCTGTCAAATGGTCACATTTAATAGGCAGACTCGCTATTAAAGAACCAATTGACAGTTGTAAAGTGTGAATATTGGTCTCATATGTCAGTCAAAATGGCTTCTGGTCGCTCCCTATCTCTCACCTGTCCTGTCAGGTCAAGCCAGGTTCAGGTGCGCGGGAGCTGATGGCAGGGGGCGGTGGATATTTGTGGAGGTCAATGTGGATATTGTGGATGAGTTCTTCTGTCATCACGTTCTATTAGTTCTACAGCTTCAGTTTCTGAACTTTCACGCTCGGTAACACATACAGCTGTTCCCTCACCACAGTGCAACAGTGAAAAGGAACTTCTTTCAAACAGTGTCGCGTTCCGAACATTGTTTAAGCGACATACACCGGTATTGCGGTATTTTAAAAATTCATATCATAACAAAAATAAACACCGGTATTCGGTATGAACCAGTATACCGCCCAGCACTAGGTGAGACACTTACCTATCCCATAAGAATCCTCTCAAACCTGGGTTCAGGTATGACTTTCACCCCAAAACCTGGTCTATGTGATAATCTTACAGTCCATCAGAAACTGATTGTTCTTGTCAGCGTAACTCTGCTGCATGAAGGCAGTTCCGGCAAAACCCCTTATTTCCAGTATGTGAGGTTTAGTCTGCAAGCAGGGATGTTGAATTAGTGTATATAAAACACATCTGTGCACTTTAATATGTGCAACAAATGTTTGCATTGAATGCAATATTTACAATTTTTTACTATCACAAAATGTCTTTAAGACATAACTTTCTGCACCAGTTTTTTTTTTTTACTCACTTGAACTGATAGTGACTTTTGAAGCCATTCAACTGCTGAATGTGATCGTATTCCTGTGGTATGCAATGACATTGACTCTGATATTTATCTTCATATGCTCTTCTGAGTGAGATCTTGTTGCAAGTTATTCATATAGATGCGGCTACCAAGCATCTCCGGATGCAGATTTCTGTGAGGGCTGCTAATAATCAGTGCAATGACATTGCATGTTAATTTAGGGGTAGATTTTTAGTAAGTTAATATTTACACACGCAAATTTTTTATGTTCATTTATTAATTGAAATATTAAATAATACATTCAATAAATATTGAGTCATCCTGCAGATGTGAAATGATCTTTTAAGCATGTTACTGTTTCAAGGTTTTGGGTGATTTATATTAGATGGCATGCTTCAACGTTTGGATGTGTAGGATTGTAATTATGAATGGATGGTTTCTCTAGTCATTGTTTATAGGAGCAGCCACCCACTTGATAGCCATCATAGCAGTGAATTTTGAACAGGCAAGCATTACTCATTCTCCAGAAAATGTGAAATTGTTTAAAATATAATGATAGACGCTAGAAAAATGAAGACGCGTTTAGTAATTTCTGTAGTCTTGTTTTAGTAAGCCGAATGTAGGATGCCTTCTGGTTAGGATTTCAGGTACGTCCTAATGGGTTTCTTGTGAAGCAGAATGTTTTGTTGCAGAAAGTAGCATTTTGTTTAAGAGGATAACTTGAGACTCGCATCAGGAAATTCCACTGCTCAGCGTGGAGAGATCCGTTATTTCCTGTATCCCTAAATCCTCCCATGTTTTTTGTTTAAGTGCACTCTGAAGTTTGACACAAAACTAGCCATTTTCTAAATGTGACGTAAGTGGTGTTTGCTGCGCAAAAGCCGCAACATTGATGCTAGAGTGGAGTAGTGTATAGTTGCTAATAGGGCTGGGTATTGAGACGGATTTCACAATTAGTTTTGATCTCGATTCTATACCGATTCATTTGGCAATCAGGTGCAGTACATGGAAAAAAAAATCTCTTGAACTAATGCTGTAAAAGGTACAATAAATCCTGTCAGTTTGTACATAAAGTGATTTGTAAACAGCATTTAAAATTGCACACAAGGCAGTTTTTATCATAAAATTAAATTTAATTCAAACATACACTAAAAGGATAGTTCATTTGCTTTTAAGTGTGTGTAAATCATGGGGTAATTTTCATTTTTGGGTGAACTATCCCTTTAAATATTGATGAACAGGTCAAGTAAAAATGTAAATATATAATACAGTCGTCTATATGTTTAGCTTATTTCTATAGTAAATTTTTTCTAGCTAATTTGAGTTCAAGGTCAATGGAATGGATTTTCTAAGGTAAACATAAGGTTACGCGAAAATGTTTATAAGCGGTTGAAATACTGATTGAGCGACATGAGACATGACACATTTTGCTAAATTGTACTTTTTCTTTCAACACCTTCTGATGGTCATTCATGTTCATTTTGTGCAGTAACTAATAGTAAAGCATAAGAGATGGATCGGTTCACATGGGCTCCACGCTGAGGCTACAGCAATCTGTCACACCAAATTAAAGAGTGCCAAACAGTGTTTATTGCTTGAATTTCGTAATAAAATTAACAGAATTTGAAAGCTTAGACTTTTTCATATCAAAAGTAGCAAAACACAAATTATTGCGATTTATTGGATGGGAGTCATGCTGTAAATAATGATTCATTAAAGGGAAAGTTCACCCAATAATGAAAATTGCCATAATTACTCACCCTCATGTCGTTTCAAACCCGTAAGGCCTTTGTTCATATTCGGAACACAAAATAAGATATTTTTGATGAAATCTGAGAGCTTTCTGACCCTGCATAGACAGCAGTGTAACTGAAACGTTCCCAAGTCCAGAAATGAAACGAGGACATCGGTAAAATGGATCATATGACATCAGTGGTTCAACCGTAATTTTACAAAGCTGCGAGAATACTTTTCGTGTGCAAAGAAAACTAAAATAATGACTTTATTCAGCAATTCTTCTCCTCCAAAGTAGGGCGACACGATATATCGTTTCAGCATCGATATCGCGATGTGCGCATTCGCGATAGTCATATCGCAGGATGCCCGATGTTTAGTATAGGCTACTGATCTTTATACTGATTGTTTTCTTTGCTCACACACAGACACTGTGTCTACACCGGATGCGACAGTTGTACAGAGATACCCATTTTAAATGCATTTAGTAGCAGAGCTACTGCGAGCGGTTTTCAGTGCTGGAAATCCATTTATCCTTTGACACTTATGCGTCGTCGCGGAGAGTGCAGGTCACGGTTGCTTAGCAACGGCAGACGCCATGAAAGCACAAGCTCCCGAGCGCTTTGGAAAGAAGGAGAACGCGACTGGCGTTTTTCATGTGTTTTTAGGCGCAACATGTGAACTGCCCCAAAGTCTGTCTACACTGGACGCGACAAAGCGACCATTGCCCATCATTTGAACTTTGTGTCAGTACGTCATAAATAGAACGTGGCATCCGTTTACTGTCGGGGATTTGTCGTGCCATGCCGCATCCAGTGTCAACCCTCTACATTGCGGGTAAATCACTCGCATATGCAACTAAATCTTCACTCTGGCGACTAAATGATGTCTAATATTAGCCAATTGTTAATACATTCTCAGATTTTACTCGCCAGTGTGAGTTGGAGGCTAAGTATAAGTTTAGCTCAGATGTATTTCACTCGCCGAACACACTCTGACTGAGCACTTCAGAGTTTCACTCTTCGTCAAGCGATCTGTGCTGTTTTTCAGTTCATCTGAATGGATGTGCAGCGCACCTGTATTTAACGTACCGTAAACTCTAGTGTGAAGGCGCACTCCTCGCCGTCGCTTTGTTTCACACACACGCAGCGAGAGAGGGAGAGAGAGAATAGACGCTCTACCTATGCGCGCTACATGTAAACGATATTCTTTGTGTTTTGCTGTCAAAATAACGGAGTTCCTTTGGAATTCTTCAGCTTTTAAGAGCTACCGCGTTCTCCGGTAGTGGGTGGAACTAATGCGCAAACGGCAATCTCATTGGCTGGCGCTCACCAATTAACATCCCTGTTTTGATTTCAGCAAATCAGTTTGAGCGAACGCACACAACCTGATTAATATTCATGAATCCAGTAGCTCATTAATCCTTGGTGC